GATTAAAATGGCCTAAAAGTAGTCTTTTTAGAATAGCCTCAGGATAGTAGAAATAATTAGGCTGAAATAGCAAAAATATAAATCAAGCTAAGTCTAAAGGTACTATCAAGTTATTTTAGAAGTAGAGACAAAAAGAAGCTTTAAAAGTAGAACATCAACTTAATAGCTACAGAACTAGAAAGAAAATACTATAGAATACTATTAAGTTACTTTGAAAGTTTTTTGGTTAGGTTTAGTAAAGCTTCACTATTCTAATTTGGCAGCTAAGTTGATTCCTTCGACTAATTTAGAGACATGTTTAGATAAAGAGGTAACTAGCCAATAGAGACATACATTGCTTCAAGATAGAAGGAAGTGTCGAGTCATAAGAAATGACCTCAAAGTAGGCATCAAGAAGAGAGCAAACTCTAGTTTTTTGGCTATAGATGACAAATTTTTATGCTAAAATCAAGGGAGGTAGTTGGAGTAGCAGTGGACCAATTCTTGACTAGAAAATTGTTCTAAATTTTTTCTTGGATATCCTTGAGGATGATGCCCTTAAACTAGGCTTTCTTGTTGTTGATTGATACTAATATAACTTGACCCAAGAGGTTGTCATTTACTATTTTGTATGAAGAGAAGATAGATTTTGATTTGTTGTAGGTTATGAAGGACAATTTGAGGCTTACCTTACGTAGTTCTAGATTTTAAAAGAAAGGTAGAAAAGAGGAAGGGGAGAGAGGAGAGAGAGAAGGAGAGGGAGAGGGCTTCTTTGGCATCCCTTTAAGAAGAATGTGGCCAATGGAGTTCATGACAAGAAGAATTGAGAGAGTAGTGGTAGATCATGTAATTGCCAAGAGAGATGATTGCAACAATCCATGGATGGCAATTTGATTGATTTTAAGAATACTATTTTTATATTTAACTTGTAAAGACAAATTTAAGGGAAAAAATAAACAAAAGCAAAATTTGAAGCTATAAAGATAGTTTTTATTTTAACATCAATCTTATGTAGCATTGATTTTTTTTAGTATTTTTATAAAAAAATATCTATTGAACTTTGTTTTGAATAGAATGTTATAAAATACAAGAACAAATGACAAACTTCATTTTGTATCTTTTTATTTAAGAAATTTTTTAGTATCCAAGTTTAAATATGACATCTAAAATAAAAAAAATTCTTGAAATTGTGAATTTCTTTTAAAAATTGCATTTTTATTAAGAAGATATTTCTAACTTGGTAATTATTCATAAAAATTACAAGAAATTTAATTATTTTATATCAACATATATTTTAAATTATCAATAAGTATGTTGAAGCATGTCTTTATTAAGATTTATATTTAATATTATTTATTGGTAAAAAAAACAATAAGATTTATTGAATGCCATATAGAAGCATTTTTATCTTGCACCAAAAGAAATAAATGTAATTTATTATTAATAAAAAATAATTATTTGAATTTATAATGATTTCATCTTTGAGCAATAAAATAAATATTTATTATTTATTTAAAATTATTTATTCAAAATAATATAAATATATCTTAAAGTCTTCTTTTATATGATATTAAAAATAGTATTTTTAAATCTTATGGTACTTCTTAGTTTGAATTCATGAATAATCTTTTTTATTTTAAAAAATACTTATTTATTTTAAAAGATAAAAAAATACTTACATTTTTTTAAGCTTATTATAATTTTTGAATTGCACAACATTTTGGATATAATAAGAGATTGAAATTAATCTCAAAGAATTTTTTATAGTCTCAAATTTGGAAGTCAATCAAAGAATTTATACAATAGTATAATATGTATTTAAGATAAAAAAATCCTTATTATTAGCTTTATAGACTTTTTCAACCATTATATATATATTGACACAACCAAGGTCTTTTTTTTTATTATAGATTTCATCACTAATCTTTTAATCTCAATTTCTTATGACTCTATAATTTTAATAGTAGAGTACTTCATTAGAATGGCATATTTTTTTATCATATATAAAAATTATTATATGTAAAGAAATAACTGGATTTTTTCTTAATAATATCTATTGCTGTCATAATCTACTTCAAGATATTCTGTGAGATAGAAGGATTCAATTTGAATCTAGGTTTCAAAAAATCCTATTTAAGATATTAAAAGTTTATGTAAAAATATCTTTGGTTATTCACCTTCAAATTAGTAGACAAACAAAGTAGATGAATTATGTGTTGGAATAATATTTGTAATGTACCATCAATTACTATTAAGATGATGAAAAAATTATTTTATCATTAGCAAAGTTTATCTATATTAACACCATATATACTTCTATTTAATAATTTTTTCTAACTATATTATTATTTAAAATTTGATACTTTTGACTTTTTAAAATTTAATAATTATATATCAAAAGATTTTAAAAATTCATAATTAGAGCTACATACAATAATAAAGATACAATTAAAAAAAGCTTAAAAATAACAAAAGTTCAATACAAATATCTATTATAGGAAATAATCTCAATTCCTTATTGATAAGAATGTATAGTTACTCTATTGTAATATCATGATTATTTGTCCTAGCAACTATTATGGATATATATATATATATATATATATATTTACTTAGATTAAAAAAATTAGATAGAATTAAGTAGACATATATAAATATGATGATATCTTATAAAAAAGCTTCTTAAAAGCTTTATGGGCATGGATTTGACTTTACACATATTTGTAGGTGATTGATAGATTGAAAACTTAGCCAATAAGTTTACCATATTATTAAGTTGTAACATGACTATATAGTGAATATATATATATATATAATAATTTTGGTTCAATAAGAACTCGAAAAAATTAAGAAATTCTTTATAAAATTCTTTTAGATTATTTACTTGTCTTCATAGCTAATAGAAAAAAGCTAGCTATCAAATATTCTTCTTAGTCTATACAAACTCTTTTACTACTTTAGAAAGGCCATAAATTGATAAAAATAAAGTTGATGAAGTAAATAATTGATATGGTTGATATTAGGATAAAGGTGAACATAGGGTCATGCTTAAAAATCTCTAGGATAGATTGGATTGATACCCAGAAAGGATTGATTGCCAATCAGGGTCAAAATCACATGCCGAGATACAAAATTATGCATCCATAGTGATTCTAGGATTATTTTGCAAATCAAAGAGTGGAATTTGAAAGAAGACTTTATAAGGTTTCTAAGAACATTAGTTTTGGAAAATTCAAGTTTGTAATGACTTTCTAAAAGCTTTCTGAAGTTAGGATTATTTTTGGTGAATTTGATTTGCGAAATAAAAATAAATAGAAATTATGTTTGAGAGAAATTTATAAGTATGGTAGTAGATCTAGAAGCGATACTTTGTGGATTTATGATTATAATTTTTATTATGGCATGCTATAAATTTGAGCATGATCAAATAGTTGGCTTGAAGATTATTGAAGTTCTACTAGGTTGAGTTCTTAGAAATAGGATTTTAAAGGTTCATAAAGGTTTTTAAGATCTTTAGCAATCTACAAGTTGGATTAAGGTGAAATTTATGTGTATAGGTAGTAGACTTAATTTTCAATATATATATAAATTTTGAAAGATATTTAATGGTAGAATTAAGAGGTTTTGGTTTTAGAAGATTGGCATCAAGATTAAAGAAGGAAGCCAGCCAATACTTGAGTAGATTTTAGGATTTATCATGTATTTAGTATGTGCGATCTTCTTCAAAATTTTTTTACTTATTACTAACTTAGTTATAATAAAGTATGAAAATTTTAGTCAAAATCAACAATTCAATTCTTTGTTATTGAATTTTTAATCTGTTGTAGGATTGTTAAGAGTTTTGTTTAAAAATTAGGATTTAATTAAAGATTGGTTAGGATTGATTTAGGATCTTAGATTTAATTAGGATTTGATTGAGATTTGATTAGAATTTAATTAAGATTTTTCTAAGATTTATTAAAGTTGGTCTAGGATTTAAGATTTTATTAGGATTTTATTAGGATTTGACCTAGGATTAATTAAAGTTTAATTAGGATTTAAATTAGGATTTGACTTGGATTTAAGCTTCTTTAAGATTTTTTGTAATTTTTTTGAGATTAATTTAGGATTTCTTTGTGTTTATTTTGTAATTTCTTTTAAATTTATTTTGGATTAATTGAAGTTTGATTAGAATTATTAAGGTTTAGTTAAAATTTATTTAAGATTTTATTAGACTTGATAGGATTGTTATTGCGTTTCTACTTATCTTCTAAAGATAGATACCTAGTGCATTCTCAAGTAAGAACATACCTAATACAATAATGTATTATATATGTTATTGATTTATGGTACAAGTTGGGCATATAGCACATATGTAAGAAACTTGTCTTCCAACTTAGACATGTATTGGAGGTCCTATTGTAATTTTTAAAAATGACTTATTTATAAAATTAGGATAAAAATGCACTTATTGTACTTAATCACAAAATTTGTGAGTTAGTGTAGGAATTCTTAGATAAATAGAAAAATCAAATGTTAATTGTATAAATATAATTTCTATAGAAGTTATTGAAAAGAATTTCAAAATAACTATATATATATATATATATATATATATAGTTATATAATTAGCTAATATTAATGTATAAGCCAATAGAAGTAGTTTTAATTGTTGTTGAATTAATTAATTAGGTTATAAAGCTAGGAATGTATCTTTGATTCAAATCATTTCAAAAAGAAAAAATATTAATAGTTCTTTCAAAAATAAATGAATAAAATAGAATAAAAAAATGAATAGAAAAAAAAGGAAAAAAACCTAGCAGTTATAACAAAAAAATTAAAAATTAAAATTAAAAACTATTCTAATTTACTTTTATTGGCATGGAGCCTGTTTTCCTTCCTTCTTGTGTGTTTTTTTAGCTTGCTATTTTCTTAGAGGTCTCCCATCCAGTTCTTCTCTTGAGCTGTCAATGCTCCAGCTATAGGGGTCGATCGGGGTGCAATAGTTTTTCTCTCTTTTTATTTTTTGGGCTGTACTGCAGAGCTCCGTTTTTTTTAGAGCCTTGCTTCACTGTTTTTGTTCGTCTTGGTTTGTTTTGGGATAGAGTAGTTTTTTGCAAGGTTGTTGCTCAGCTAGGCTTTAGAGGATTGTCGACATTTCTCTTTTTCCTCGAATTAGTGTTGGTGGTCCGGCATTTGGGTTTGGTGTACTCGGATGCAAGGGGCTATGCTGCCACTGGAGCAAGTGGCGGTGTGTGTGTTCCTGGAGGTCCACTAGCAGCAAGGAGTTGGTGTTGTAAGTTATTTTTTTTTGACATCCAGCGGCTCTTGTTTGTGTTTTCCTCTTTAGTTGATAGACGATGGACTTAGTCGGTTCTATACAAGTATGCTTCTCATTCCAAGTTCCTGCAACACCGGTGGTGATTGCGGCGTGTGGCGGCGGCAAGAGTTCTATTCCATTGTCCAGTTCATCGATCGCTACAACTGGAGCAACAGAGCGACTAATTATTCAAATTTTTCTCAACGTGGTTTGGTCTTTGTTTTTTCCTTCCCCCTGATTCTCTAGCAAGCTCGTGATTTGGTGTGGTGCGGTTGTTTCTGGTGGCTACAGTGGAGCGGCAAGTAGGATGTTCTGTCCTTCTAATTCCGTCGACTATGGTCGACATTCCTCGTGCTGCAACGGTCGCTGCGGCACTGACTTTTTAAGATGCCAACATCGGCTGCGGTGGCATCAAGGGTGGCATGCCAGTCTAGATTTTTGCAAATCTCGTCCTCAAGATACTAGCATGTTCAGGGGCTATCATCATTCCGTCTGTGGAGTTCTTATTTAGGATCAATTTCCGACATCGACAATTTGAGGCAGCAGGGACCTTGATGAATATTGCATCCAAAACTCCTGATTGCACACTTGTTGCCTTGAAGTCTGACAAAAGACAACTTGAGAACTTTTTGGTGTTGGTTCTGGCTTTTACTCTCACGACCCTGGTTACGTTTTATGCTCACTATGAATCGTCAACTGCATGTTTTTTTTTTTTTTTTTTTTTTTTGATCCTAAGGATTGTGTTGTCAGTTTGCAAGGTTGATCGTGTTGTAAGCTAGTAGTGTTTTCCTCTGTCGACCGATTGCAGGCGTCATACAATGCACCCGTCGACTGTCTTGTTAAAAGTGACATCCGAAGGTTGTAGAATTCCGTCATCAATAATTCTTGGTTGTTCCCTTCTTTTCATATAGTTTGGTGGCGGCAATGACGTTGGCCTTATGGATTATTCTCTTGTTTCCTTCTTATGGTGCTTGTAAGCACCATTTTCCAACTCTTGGAAGCAATTAATGTTCACTAGCTTCAAATTGCCTTCCTCTTGCGAATCCGACCTGCATTGCCAATCTGTGATTGTTGTTTTACTTACTCTAACTAATCTAATCAGAGTAAATCTGTATAGGGGAATTCGAACACAGGGAAAGAATACCGCATGAGCTTACACATTAGGGTCACACAATTAACTGTATTCCGCACTACTTAAAACACCCAGGAAACACTACAATGCTTTCCACTTCCTAATAATACTCCACCATCACTGATAACAACAACATGTAATCCCGCACTATCCTAAATGACAAGACATAATCATACTATAATCCAAACTCTGGAGTTCTTCACCATTAACTGCCTTCACATTACAGTGTTTCACACAAACACAGACTCATTCTCTCTGCTGAACTACAATCAGATTTCAGCATTCAATCTTTCTTCTTCCCATTTAATAACAATAATACTTCCATTCCATAATTCACTTTCACAATATTCAGAAATTTTTAATCTTCTTATTCAAAGAAAATAACAAACAAAAGAAAAGAGGTAGCACCAAGCTTACCCCGACTCACACTATCACAGTCTGGCCCTTACTTCCTCTCTCCCATCCTCCTTATGCTACCACGAGATACCAATTGCTACATCTCTAATGAAAATTGCTTTTCCTAACTATTCATCTATTTTACCTACTGAACTACCTTTTCAACAGTCATCTATCCCTGTTTACACTATAAACTAAGTATCTACAATTCAGCAAATAACTACTTATTCTACATAGCCCCACTCCCATCTGTGCAGCATCCTCGCAAACATAGAACCGATACATAACTAAAAAAAAACTTCTCCAAAATTTCTATTTATCTGATATATCCAATTGATCAATTACTACATTATCCGTTATTGGTTCCATCGATTCTGGCTCTAGTGGTATGTCTTCATTCTCTTCCAATATGTCAAGCGACTCCTTTCTCAACTGGGCTCAAAGATCTTCATTGTATTCTCCCAATTCACGGACCTGAGCTTCCAGTTTCAAGATTTAGGCATCGTGAAGTTTCAACTAATGTTCTTGCGGACTCATCCCTTCTAGGACATCTTCAATCGACACTTGAGATTGGCTCCTCACAGTTAACTCTTCCGTCAATTTTGATACCTCATTTTGTAAAACTTCAATTTCAGACCTCATTTTTCCCGTTTCACATCTCAATTGGTCATACAATAATGCTTTCTCTATCTCCAATAACTCTGTCTTGTCCACTTCCGCTTGCAACTCGCATTTGAACTTCTCCCGTTCCAAATTCCATGACTTCTTATTCTGAATCAATTCGTCCCGTTGTCCTTCCACAATCCGTGAAATCTGTTTATTTTCCTTTGTCCAAGCCTCATATTGGAGAACCAATTTCCGCTCCAGGACCAACTTGGCTTCTTCAATTTCTTGAATCCTCAGTTCTTACTCCCTAATTTTTTGATTTTGATCCGATATTCTTTTTTTACTATCCTCCCAATCTCGTTTACTTCTGTCTTCTACATCCAATGCTCGTACCATACAATATATTTGCGAAATGTGCTTCAATACGGCATTTTTAAGAGATATTCCTTTAGGTAATCGACCTTCTGGAAACGCCAACTGGTTGGTATCTATCAATAATAGGACTTGATTCTCCTCTTCCATCGCAACACCACTTGGAACCCGTCCCGCTTCGATAACCGGAACTACTCCTTGAACCACTGTACGACTTGATTCTCCGATTTCGTGTATTACATCCGTTGCATTGTGATTCTGTGCCAACAAATTTTGTTCTCTCTACAAAGGTGCTGACACTGATATAAGGTTTTCCTCTTCTGACGGTGGTTGACGCAATATGTGCGCGATGATAGCATACACATAATTTGAACAAAGCAAGGATGTGAACTTCTCCAATTTGAACTTGGCTCCTATCTCCGCATGAATACGAATAGCTACGTAAGTCGCCCAGTTGAACACCATCCCTTCAAATACCCCTACTGCTGCATACAATAATCATTTTGACACATATGTGGGGTGTTGATACAATCCTAACCACCTCAGCACGAACCGCAACCATTCCACATATTCTGGTGTAATCGCCTCCTGAGTCCGCCATCCTTACCTCCTTTCAAAGGATGACATTCTTCCCTTGAAATATCTACCTGGACTGAAATCGCTTCACTCATCAGTCCCTACTGCCATGTCTCCAATGGGAAGAAACAACACCTTTTCCAGGATTGTTTCATCAATCCCAATAATTCGCCCTTGAACGACACTCGATCCATCCTCAGGGTCATAATTCTCAATGTATTCCTCCACTAATGATACATTGATTGATGGTAAACGCTCTGAATGGTGCAAAAATTGGAACAGCTTCGTAGTCCGAAAATCCCTTATTTTTCTCTGCGTCCAACAGATTTCTAACTTCATCGGCTCCATATTGGTAACGATTATCACAGCTGATGGTTTTGCTGTGCATTTAGCTCTCACATTCCGGCCACTTTCATATCTCTCTACAGCTCTCTTGGTACTTTCAATCGCCATGACTCAAACGCTTACAGGTCCTAACTGTCAATGCGACTCTCATGTATGCCCGAAACACTAAAATGAAACACAAATAAGCAACAACAGAATATAACACCAGAGAATAACCCTTAATAAGAGCCCCACTCCTATTCTATTACCTAGTGATGAGAACGACAACATGGTACTCATAGTGTCCATTTCTCACTTCCTTCGCATCTGACACAATAGTGATTACTAAATATCCTTGCAGCCGCTTCTACGCCTTATACCATAATTAGATCCCTCCTGAGTCCATTCGAGGTCCCCTCCCCTCAAATGAAATAAGACCCGTCCCGAGTTTTAGGTATTATGTAACCATAAACGATTCCCATTAATACGGATACTGAAACGATGGCCCGTGAAATCCTCCAATTGAACAGACCCATTGGAAAATCCTTCAATTACGCGATATGGCCCATGCCAGCGAACTTGAAATTTTTCCGAAAAATGATTAAATCGGCTATCATACAGCAATACCAAATTATTGGGCATAAAACACTTCGGTCGCAGTTTACTATCATAGTAACTCTTCCTCCGTTTTTGAATGGCTTCCATGTGGAATAGAGCGACAGCCCGTATTTCATCCAATTCCTTCAATTTCATCAACCGAGAGTGTAATGACTTGGTGTCACTGAGGCATTCGTCTAAGGCAATACATAAACTGGGAACCTCCAATTCGATAGGTAAAATTGCCTCTTGATCGTAAACTAATTGGAACGGAGTAGAGTGGGTAGTTACTTTATAGGCGGTACGATAAGTCCACAAAGCTGCAAAGAGTTTGGTCTCCCAATCAGTACCGGTCCCTAAAATTGTCTTAGTCAAGACTTTGCACAAAATACCGTTGGTCTTTTTCGTTTGCCCATTGGCACGAGGATGATAGGGAGTGGTCTTACGATGCTTGATCTCATATGTGGTCGTCAAGGCAGCGATGGTAGCATTGATGAAATAGGTGCCTCGATCGCTGACCAATTCCTTGGAACACCCAAAGCGAGTGATAATATTCTCATACAGAAAAGTTGCCACCATACTGGCATTATCGGTGCGAGTAGCAATCACCTCTGCCCATTTGGTGACATAATCTGTGGTGACTAAGATATACCGCTTTTGACTAGGTTTTGACATAGGTGCAATGGGACCAACAAAATCAATACCCCATTTTTCAAACGGGACGTAGGCCAAGATTCGGACTAACGACATGGCGAAAGTACCTATAGGTCGACCAATTCGTTGACAAGGATCACAACGGCAAATGAACTGGTGGGCATCAGAAAACATTGTGGGCCACCAATATCCAGCCATTAAAGCCTTGCAAGCAGTGTTGTCTCCCGCGAAATGACCACCACAACTATCCAAATGACAACCGGTAAGTATCGACTGTACTTCACTGGGAAAGATACAGCGCCGTAAAAGACCATCTCGGCCTTGTTTATACAAAGCATCACGAATCATCGTGTATGGGGCACTCTTCAGAATAAGGCGCTTCTTAAGCTTGTCCGTGAAAGTCGGCGGAAAAGTATGGAAGGTCAGAAATTGAATAATTTCGCTATACTCGGGGGATATCACATCCACCACAAATAATGCGGCGTCGAGAAGATCATCGGGAATAGGCTCGTTGCCGAGAATATTAGACAATCAGTATAAATGATCCGTGTTCGCATGTTGCTTCTCAGGTCTGACAACCACCGTAAAATTGAACTCCTGGAGGAGTAAGACCCAGCGAGCAATGCGCCCACTCAATTGAGGCTTATTAATCAGATATTTGAGAGCATCATGATCCACATAAAATACAAACGGATATCGAAGCAAATAGTGCCGAAATTTTTGAACCGAGGCTATCATACCCAACGCCTCTCGTTCAGTAGTAGTATAGTTGCGGTCAGCAGCCATCAATTGTCGACTGGCATAATATATGGAATGATCTAATCCCTTATCATCCTTCTGGCTTAACATCGAGCTAATAGCAGCATTGGATGCATCAACATACACATGAAATGGCTTTGTCCAACAAGAAGCCACCAATATTGGTGCAGAGACCAATTTTGATTTTAAGACCTCGAAGGCTACG